GCCCCCCGGCCGGGCCGTGCCGCTGTGCCCGCTGCTGCCGGCCCGGCCCGGCCCCGCCGGGGCTCGGCGGGCGCTGCGGCTCGCAGAGCGGGCGGGCTTGCTGCGAGTGCCGCGGGGAAATCCGCTCTGGAGCTTCGGGCTCCTTCTCCTGGGGAGCTGGAGGGCCGTACTGTGTCCTTTCCATGTTCAGCCTCCAGCGGAGCAGCAGGTCAGGGACCTAAGAATGCGGAACGTTTACTGTGTGGAAACCAGTCCTGGGGGATTTAAAAAAGCCTCGGTCCTCATCTTCTGATTTGGTGAAGTGTAGTACTGTGTTTTGGTTTGTACCGGGCAAAGACCCAAGCAGAAAAATCTGTTTGCTTAAAAGGGTGTTTTAGAAGTTTTAGCAATTTATGGAGAAGTTTATTATTTGCTGTTCTTCAGATAGAGGACAGAAAATGAAAATAATTTTATGAAACCATTGGCAGATCTCAGAACAGTATTCAGCTTTCCCGAGCCCAGCATCCTCAGCATTACACGTTTGGAAAGGATGCTGTCCCTAATTATTGTTTACAGCTGTTCCTTTCTGGGAATTCCCAGTCATTACTTGTCAGAAGGTTAAAATAGCATAGCACACGGCAAAGCACTATAGACTAATAAAACTGTAGCTCAATTTCTACTTTCAAATCTCCAGGTTAGTTGGCTATTGAGTTGTGTTTGTTTCATCACTTTGATTTTGAAAATAAGGGTTGCTTGGCTTTTGTCTTGATTGACATTTATGACTGTAAATAGCACAAGCTGTAATTTCCACGTGTGGAGGGGAAAAAATGCCGGTAGAACATAGTATCGAATAATGTAGTTTCAGTGAGTGCTTCTGTAAAGTCAGTACTTTTTGTTACTTAAAGCTGGAAATAACCATTTCAAGGGTCCATGCCGGTAGTGCTTAGTCATGTGATTAGTCTTTATTCATGTAAAAAAAAATCCCATTGACTCAGTGTTTCTACTAACATAAGTAAGGAATTCAGTATTTTGGTCATCTCAGAGCAAAGTACAGCTGTGGTTATCATACAGGTAAGGGGTTGTTTATATTTCCTTTTTAGAATAATTCATACATTTAAATACAGGATTGCATAAATTGTAATTGTATTAGTGAGGAGAGTGGATAAGTAAATGTGTTATTTTCATTTTAAGGCTGTTTGCTGCTGGGGGAATGATAAGAATATGCCATCTTTATTACCTAAAGGAAAGCTTTACCATATGCTGCAAGATGTGAGAGATCTGAGCACAATCCCAGGTGCTTTTAGGGTGTGTGAATGACACCACCCTAAAGTAGGACTTCATAGCATCACCTGTTTCATCTGCCTTTATTTAGGGCTTGTCAGGATGTCCACTGCATCTCTCCATCAGCTGGTTCTCAGAGTGGTTATAGAAGTCAGCTCTTGGCACCTGGAGTTTGAGGTCCCCTCTCACCCTGAGAGGGTCTTGCTGAAAACTTTTGGGCATTTGGAGGTGCATGTTGCCAATGGAAAAGTCTGGGTGAAGAGGAGAGAGCAGCTGTTTCCCTGTGGGGAAGGGGATTCTAAAGCCTTCCTGTGCAAGAGGGGCCTTCTGCCTCCATAGACCAGGAAATGCCTTCCTGGTCGGTCTGTCAGATTGGAGTTCTTCTCTCTCTGCCTCCTGACTCCCACCTCCATGAGAAAACTTCCTAATAGTTGCATAAACAATTTTTAGTTGCTTCTTGTTTCCTTGTACTTGATATCCAGAGATTGATACGGCTTGATACTTGTCCCTAGATTCACAGTCACAATGGTGGGTTCTCCTAATGTGGCTACTTGTACTCTAAACATTTTAGGCATGCATACTTCTGTCTTGATACAAAAATTTTGCTTTGTTTTTAAACAAAGCAAGAATGTTTGTGGACAGCATGGAGAGTCTCTCCCTGTAAAAATTTGTATTGTTGTTATTGTTGTTCTTACTGTACTGCACAGGGGTTTTCAGGCATTCGGTCCCTACATTTGGCTCTAACTAGCCACAAAGTTAATATCCTCTGAATAAGTATTTCATAGAGGGTAGCAGGTTTGAGGTTGTGGGTGTTTTTTTTTGTTTTTTTTTTTTGTTTTGTTTTTTGTGTTGTTTTTTTTTTTCTTGCTGTACCCATGAGGCCAGAGTTACTGAAGAAAGGGATGCAGGGCAGTGAACATTACATGTCCTACTGTGGAAATATTTTGGGGGTTTTGAGCCAAATGGAAATGCTTTTTCAGCTCTGTTGACTTACCACTGAGTAATAGTGGCACTGCAGGCTTCACCCCCACACACAGCAGAAGCACTTCTGAGCCATAGCTCTACCACTCACAAAATACAAAGAGCTTCAAGAAAAGTAACCTAAGTCTGTCCCCAAGTGACAATATCCTCATCTACCATATCTGGCCATTGTAAGTATGTGACTGATGCTAGCACAGCTTTCAATTCTTTGGGCTCTTTCTGTACTCTACTGACCATCACTGCTCAGAATGTATGGGCTGTGGAAATCTGACATGGTCATTAACTGCCTTTTTTTTTTTTTTTTTTGGCATGTTATCTATACAAAAGCTTTAAATGTGCTTAAATTCAGCAAGTGCATATGGGATTACATTGTGCAATTATCAATTAGTTAAGTTTCCAGGATAATTTTCCCTTCCCTTGATCCTGCCTTCTCTTACGCTTACTTTGATTTAAATGCTTTTTTTGAATGATGATGCAGTTTCCTTAGTTATGCATAAATCCTCTTTAATATCACAGTAAATTATATCAGCAAATGAGTGGGATAAACTGATCAGTGTCTGTATCTGAGTAATGCAGAAAAGTTAGTGAATATGAGCTTTATAAAGTTTTTATAAATAGTAATTATAAAGTTTTTTTATAGTCTTTATAAAGGCTTAATTGGATTGTATCCACTCTGTGCTTGATTCAAGCAAAACTTCATCCAGAATCCCACCCTGAAAGTGCTTTCTCAGCCTCTGCAGAAGTGTGATAGAAGGGAACTGTGTTAGAAGGGAACAAACCTGCCAATAAAAGGATCCTTTTTCATTTCAGATGTCTTCTAGAAACATGGCGGGCCAACACATCCTTCCTCAAGCTTTGTATCAGAGCAATATGCTGAAGGCTATGAAGATCAGAGAGAGGACACCTGAGGATCTAGTCAGACCTCCCAGTGGAATAATTCATCACTTCAGGACTATGCACAGATACACCATTGAAATGTTCAGAATGTGCCAGTTTTGTCCCCAGTTTCGGGAAACACTTCAGAAGTCCCTGACTGACCAGGCTACCCAGACTTCACTGGAGCGCCAGAGGAAGCTCAACTGGTGCAGGGAAGTTCGGAGACTTGTTCCTTTGAAGACTAACGGTAAGTTACGAGCAGGTCTTTGCACTCACAGTAAAACAGTTCATACTGATGTAGCATCTTTATTTATAGCATCTGAGTTCACATTACTGAAACAGAAGCACATGGCTTTAAAAATGTGCTGTCTTGTAATCTTAGTTTTGAAAATTGAAATTCTTTCTATGTGATGTACGGTCCTGAGGCTGTAACAGACCCTTGCCCATACCACAGTATGTGAATATTGAAAAATTTCACGGATATTTTCATAATGTCAGTAACCTGTGGCTCTTCAGAGTCAAAAACAAGGCAGGGAAATTTGATTTAGAACCCATTGCCTTCCCATGAATCTGACTGCTACCTATCAGCTGCTTTATCGGAAGTGCCAAACATCCTTTTATGCCAGTCAAGAGGAGCCTTCAGATGCTTTGAGTGACCAGGGATGCATTTCCATGTATATTTTGCAGAAGCTAATATCCTTCCAATAAGCCGTGCTGTTGTAGCTGGCAGGCAATGCTTGTGTGCTGATCCAGCTTTACAGTGACAGCAATAGCACTCAAAACATGGAGTCTCCGGGGACCCTGACACTGCTGTTCCTGGGGTCAGCACCCCACACTGGGGCTGTTCCCTCACCCTCAGCACCCTGCCTGGGTTTGCCAGCTCTTGCCTTCCCTCAGGGCCCACCAGTAACTCCTGTGTTGTGTGACTGACACCCATCTTTGTGCAACAAAAATTTTGCAGTGCTCATTTCTTTCAGCAGTCATTGCTGGTTTCAGGACTTGGCTTTTGGGTTACTCTGTGTGTGTATTGCATCAAGTGCTATAAATGAAAAGGCACAGCAGTAGAGCAAAGATTTCCTGAACAGGTTATGTTTGTCCAGAGTCTTGAGCAGGAAACCTTGGCACATGACTGTAGGAGTCACCAGGCATTTCACATTCAGTGAAGAAAAGATTCAGAAAGATTCTATGACTTATGGTCATGCAGCTGCAAACTTGGACTCAGGATTCCTTACAGTACAGGTTGCCCCTAACCAGCAAGAATAGACTGGGACAGCGAGGACTTTAAGAAGATGAAAAATACGTACACTTCGCTCTAGGAGCAGATCACAGCAGTTAGAGCAACACTGGTGGACCTGTAACATTGTTGAAGTCCATGTTGCGTTCTGTGTTTGCTTCTTTTCATATCTGCTTGTATACACATCGCCCTTATCTTCCTAGTCCACACTTTTCCCTTTCCAAGTTCTGCCATATTTCTTAGTCTGACTGAGAAACAACACGGCTGTGTTGTACAGAAACCATAAAAATAGACCCATTGGGTAGATGTCACTGCCCAACCTAAAGCCTGATGTTGATGTGTGTGTCTGTAACTGTTGCAGAGGCACTGACCTTCCGGCGGGCTTTTTGGGCTGCCTCTGCTTTGGTGTACAATTCTCATGACTGCAATTAGGGGTGAGCACGGAAGTCATGGAATCTTGAGCTTTGAAAAGACCAGAGTTGCAGCTAGGGCAGGCAGCACTTTGCAGGTACTGGGAAGGTAACATCACTCCAAGTGTTGCATCTTAAAAATTCCACTCAAACGGATTTTCTAGGAAAATGGACAATGTGCACAATTTTTGCCCAGGGCAAAGAGTAGCAGTTTTAGAGACCCCTGTCTTCAGTCAATACAAATCCTGCAGGGGTTAACACTGCCTTGGGCAGACCCTTGTTGGTGACCACATTACATTCAGCAACACTGACCTCCTTTGTCTCATGACCATTGGCCCATGTTACACGTGGGAATAGTGTGGACTTGGATCCCACCCACGAGCAGGCATACCAGTATATGAGATGCTGAAATATTAGGGCAGGTTGAGGGAAGGGAAGGCAAAGCAAGGTTTGTGGTCTCCCCATAAACTGAGCAGACAAAGAACTTGGCTTCATTTCAGTGCTTCAGGGTCATTAAGTGCGTGAGTAGGAGTGGCTTTGGAAACCTGTGAGTTATGCAAAGTAGTTGCATTGAAAGACCTGTGCAGGAGAAGGTAGATTGGACTGTAGGAGAGGATCTCTGAAAGAAGTGCAGAAGTCTGGAGAAGCCCTGTATTATTCCAGAAAACAACTTTTTTTTTTTTCCTCCTATGTGGCATAAAAAATAAATTTTAAACATTTAGCTGCTTTAACCCATAGATGTGGGAGGAATATGTTAGTTCTCTCAGTCAACAGTGGGCTTGCTTCAGAAAATTCTGGGTTTTTTTCTGATTAAGGTTGTAGTTGTTGAAAAGAGAGAAAGTATCTCCTACAGGATCTTTTGATGTATATTTTACTTAATATGTTTGTGGATCTGTGGAGTGATGGGGTTTTCTTAATTAAAAAAGACATTTTGGATCACCACATATTTCTTTGCAGACATTTGAATGGATGATAGAAGGAAAGCGGTAGGAGGTACAAAAATCAAAACTGTTTGGGCTTTTTTCTTTTTTTTTCTTTTTTTTTTTTATTTAAAAATTCCAGCATCTATTGGCTGTGGAGATTTCACTTGTATAATGAACTGGCATTCATTCCAGCTCGCCCAGCCACACCCCCTGGGAAAGTCCGAGGGAGGCCACACTTCACCCGCAGAACAAAAAGTACAACTGTTGCTCAATTGCTAATCAAACGGTGTGGGGGAATTCCAAGTGCTGTGTAAGGAATTTTGGGCAGTGCTTCTAAATAAAGAACCGAAAGTGAGCTCTCAGAGAGAGAAAAATTTTAATCTTATCTTTGCTCTAGATTTTGCAAAGGGAAAATTTTAATGGGATTAATATGTCATCTTTCTTGGTCAGAAGGAGAAACCCAGTCAGTTTTTCTGTCTTCTTGGTTATTCCCTGATTCTTGAGTTCAAGTAAGCAGCCTGCAGAATTGAAGTAAGCTTTGCAAGACAGCATTCAGAAGATAGAAGGCAGTTGCAGGAACTTGATATGCACCAATCCCATGACAATTTATGAAGCACTGAGTAGATTTCAAATTGTATTTTATTTGGGAACTGGAGTCTGTTGTAGGCTTTTCCCTGCAATTTCACAGACTAAGTAGCAGAAGTGTTCACAAATGGTATAATTGAACTCAAAATGTGTGTGGGAAACTGGGTTTAATTCTTTTGTGGGAGTTCTTTGGGTGGATTTGTTTGGGGGTTTTTTTCACATGAGAAAAATCTAGTAGCTTCACCAGGGTTGATGTCTTCTATTCCAAGAAAATTGCTATGGTTTCTTAGCATTGGGTAAATCTGTTTACCACTGTGGTAAAATATCAGAGCTAGTTTTGCCTCTGAGCACATGACAGTAATGATTCTTGATGTCTCCCTTTCAGGGGAGACATTTGCTTTTGAAGAAGGTGGCTAGAGATACAATTTGAAACCCAGGCATAGATGTATTTTTTGTCACACCTTTTAATTAAGTTATCTCATCTGAGTCTCAGTTTCCCCTCTGAAACTGCAGAATATCACAATCCTTCCTATCTGTAAAGAGGAATTTTTCAATGCAAGGAGATTGTGTAAATGAAAATCCAATCACTGTTTTTCATTTACTTAGTTTTGATTTTGTGTTTTAAAAACCAGTCCTCTAAATAATATATGTAACAAACCAATTTGCTGTCATTTCTGAGAGGAAGGCCAGAGGTGTTTCTATGATTGCTTTACATAAATCACCTCCCATTCCCTTTCTGTCTCCTTTTTTATTACCATTCCTCGATCAAGCACAGCCAAGTGCCAAGCAGTGCTCATCAGGGATTGTGAGGCTATAGTTGGTGTTACTATAATATTTTCTTAGTGGTTTCCATTATCTCAGCCTCATGTCATTTGGTGTATATTTCTATAAACACCAATGAGGGAGATTGACATCTTTTTTTGTAAATTTAAGATGACTTTGTTGTGTTTAAAAAGCTATTTCAGCTGTGTTTGACATTTAGAGTTGACACCAAAATTTAGTTTGTGGTATCAGTCAAAATTAAGTAAGATAGGTAAGGGGCATTGCTGGATGGCAGCTTAACTTGGACTGGTACAGAGACAAAAACAGTAGGGAGGGAAGTTTTCTTTTTCTGTCTCTGAACAGAGACCATAACTCTGCTCTCCTTCTTCACAACCCTTCTGTCTGAGGCTTAGAGAGAAGTGCACAGGGAATATGCTTATGTGCAGTGTAATTCTACATCTCACAGGCTTGTGGCGTTTTATTTAAGTAGCCATTTGAAAATAATGCACTTTTTCTTCTTTTTTGCAGGTGATGGAAATTGCCTTATGCATGCTGCCTCGCAGTACATGTGGGGTATTGAAGATATCGACCTTGTCTTAAGAAAAACATTGTTTAGTGCTCTCAGGGAGATTGACACACGGAACTTCAAGCTCCGCTGGCAGCGGGAGGCTGTTAAATCCCAAGAGTTTGTAGAAACGGGACTCCATTATGACACCCGGGTAAGGCAGGCTGAGGGAATGGTGCTGTTTTCAGAGTTTTTCTGCCTTGTTTTGCTGATTCTGTTTGTTTTGTGGCTTCATGGATTCTGTCATTAATGGAGAGCAGAAATAGTCTTCCTTTGGAGGAAATGGGAAAATGTGATTATTTGAGCACTGCTGTGCTGCAGCTGGCTCCTGACCTCCATGTCTTTGAACCATTGGTGACAGCTGTTTCTTTCCTCAGAACTGGGAGGAGGAGTGGGAATACCTCATTGAAATGACCTCCCCAGAAGTATCTGGGGCTCAAAACAGGCTTCCCTATAATGCACTGGAAGAAATCCACATCTTCATCCTTGCTAACATCCTCAGAAGGCCAGTCATTGTCCTTGCAGGTGAGTTGTCTGGCCAGTCATCCCACTGTGTTACTCTTGTGCTGTGTTAGTAATCTTAGTCAACAGCTGTTGTTTTCAGGTGGATGCATTTCAGAACACAGTGTTTCCAGCAATTATTCCAAAACCCCCAGCATACATTTTCTCTTCCCTGTAGCACATACTTATTTGTGTTTTCTTTTTCTTCTTCGTGTAGATAAAGTGGTTAGAAGTTTAGAGTCAGGCTCCAGTTTTGCTCCTCTGAATGTTGGTGGTGTTTACTTGCCTCTCCTGTGGCCATCTGAAGAATGCTACAGATACCCAATTGTGCTTGGCTATGACAACATGCATTTTACACCACTGGTGACTCTGAAGGACAGTGGGCCAGGTATTTTTCAAGAACTTCATTTAGTATTTATGTTCCTTCTTCAAAACCACTGTGTTGGTAATGCATTTGAAATATGATCTGGTTTAGATTTGCATTTTTAAAGTTAAATAAGATTAATTTGCAATATATTCGTAAAATATGAGCAGAAAGAGCTTTGATTTTTTGAGTCTGTGAATCTGAGTAGGAACTAAAGGTTACCTTTAAGTTCAACCAACTAAAGGTTGAAAGTAGAGTGCAACTCACCTGCTTGCAGGCTGGAATTGGTCAAAGGGTAGCCTCTGCTTTATTGTGTTCTGTCCTCTTTTCTACACTGTGAGAGAAGAAGCTTTGAAGGATACAGTCTCACTGCAGGTATCACTGGCTGGCAGGAATAATGAAATATATGCTTTACCATTTTTAATGCATCTCTTCTGAGTGGACAGCAGTTCTCTAGGTTCAGGTTACAGCATCGTCCCACCAAAAGGCATAACAAAGATCTACAATTCTGTTCACATGGAGAAGATAGTTGCTATGGGGACATAAAAACTACTGTTGGATGGGGCTAAATTTGTGATGTAGCTGTGTCTGCAACCTCCCCCAGTGGTACCACATAGAAACTGATTTCTCTGCCCAGCCATTCTCCTCTCTCTCAAAAATTTAGTGGTGATATCTCCATATATTGCATTTTGTGGTTATTCCTAACTGCCTGGATATGTGTGTGTGTATGAATATACATATATATATGTATATATATATATATATTTGTATGTATGTGTGTGTGTATATATATATATATTTATCTATCTATACATATCTATATCTATCTGTGTGTGTATGAGTTAATCTGTCTTGTTTCCCCACAGAAATCCGGGCTGTCCCTCTGGTTACCAGTGAACAAGGCAGATTTGAGGATTTGAATGTGCATTTTCTGACAGATGCAGAAGAGAGGGAGAAAGAGCAGCTGCTAAAAGACTACTTGATAGTGATAGAAATTCCAGTGCAAGGCTGGGATCATGATACAACTCATCTAATTAATGCTGCAAAGTGAGTGTCATTCCTGTTTCCTCAAAGTTATCTTGTTTACAAGGGTGAGACAAGCTGGGCAGCCCAGTGAGTTCTTTTGATCTTTCCTTCCTTCCTAGGTGGCCCATGTGTTTACTATCTGAAATATGAAATATTGTCATTACTGTTGATATGTTTTGAAGTAGTATGAGCTGAGGCCAGTCTCAAATTTAAAGGCAAAAATGTGTTCAAACTTAACAAACTGAAACTAGCATTTTAGAAGAAAAAATCCACTTGATCGGTTTCACTGACTTATGGATTTCACAGGAAGGTGGCTGAAAAGTAGTTAAATGCAGGAACTAGTTAGCCCAAGCTCTTGTGCTTTGTGTAAGGGCACATTGCATAATGGGCAGTTGGTGTAACTTCAGCTGCCCTGGGGAAAGTACTTGGCAGTATGTTCTGAGCACAGATGCTTCAACACCCTGGGCTGTTCTGTGTGGCAGTTGGCAGGAAGCTGTGGCCGGTGGAGGAACTGGTGTCTCTGCTTGTCCCCCTGATGGCTGAGCATCAGTAGCATGGCAGGGAACAGCTGGCAACAGCCATCAGCTTCTCATATTCAATGGACACTGGCAGTGATGCCCAACCAGTCCCCTGAGAACTGATGGAGGGAAGTAACTCCCTGTGTCCTCTGCCTTTGCTTCTACTACCACACGGAAAGGAATCTTTATGCTGTTGGCTAGTTCTGGTGTAGGGGCGTTGAAAATTGAAGTCTTTCTACCCAGAGGATATATATGCACACGTGAAGGGTAGCACTGGAGCTTCCCTAGTTGCTCTGCCTAGTTGTGTTCTGGAGCATTGCCAGAAATGCTAGCTCCTCATCCTAGCAACTATGGCATGATGAAACTCCAATGTAGGGTTTTCTCTGTAGCTGTAGGCAGAGTAAGGATGGTGTGATGGGTGCACCACACTGAAGCCCCACAGTTTGTTAGAAGAATTCTGCTGTTAGATACAGACCCAACAGGGCAGAACCAGGAGCAGATTTCATGATGAACTGTCTCATGAAATGTTGAGCCCCTTGTAGGAAGGGCTTGCTCTTAGTGTGTGCTGGTAAAGAAAGGGGTCTTCTACTCTAACCTCTGCTCTGCTGAGCACTGTTCCTGAGAGAAATTCACCATCTGTGGGACTTTCTGCTTCTGGGAGATTACACATATTCTTTGTGCAAACAGCTCTTAGACAGAAAACCTTCACCTACAAAGCCTTTCAAGAAGACCTGTTTAGCGTTGTTTCAGGGCATTTATTTCAGATGTGAAAGTCTACATCACTGAACACCTGCTTTTAAAATAATTTCCATTTACAGAAAAAGTGCAACATCCCAGATCTTCTGTCTGAGAAAAATTAAACTTGCATTAAATTGCATAAAATTGCATTAAATCTGTATTCCCTTCCCACGTTGCTTGTATTTGCTTCCACTCCCACCATCTGCTCCTTTCAACCACAGATGCAGTCTTCTTTTTTTTGGCTTTCAGGTTAGATGAAGGCAACCTACCCAAAGAAATAAACCTCGTGGAAGATTACTTTCAACTGGTACAGCATGAGTACAAGAAGTGGCAGGAGAATGCTGAACCTGCTAGAAGAGAGACATGTTCCAGGAACAGACAGGACCTGTCACTTTCCCAGCTCTCCCTCTTACAGATGAAATGTGAAACGCCAAATTGCCCTTTCTACATGTCTGTGAACACCCAGCCCTACTGCCACGAATGCTTTGAGCAGAGGTCCCAAGGGAAAAAAGGCAGAAAGCAGATCTCCAAATCAGCACCTGAGAAGCTGAAGGCAGCTGGGTCAGGCTCCTCCCGTGGGGGTATTTGTGAACCTGGGGGATGGACGTCTGAAGGGCCTGTAACAGAGCCTCGCTCTGCACCTCCGACCGCTCCGAGCCTTTTTCTGTACAGTGAAACCACAGCCATGAAGTGCAGGACCCCAGACTGCCCCTTCACATTGAATGTGCAGCACAATGGGCTGTGTGAACGCTGCTACAACTCCAGACAGCTCAGTCCCTGCAACAACTTGGATGACCAGAGACATTTGGACTATGCCACATGCAAAATGTGCCATCAGAAGGCCAAGAGGACCTTCAATGGTATATGCAGCACTTGCTTCAAAAGGTCTACAGAGCAGTCCCCAAATGGCAGTCCCGCTTTTCTGCCCACCTGCCACCAGAGATCAACATCTGACCCGTCCCAGATCTCACAGATCCTGCACCAGCACTCCTGCCATCAGGCTCCCAACAGCCATGGCAAGGAGCCCTCGCCACCAGCACTGCCTCTGGCGGAGAACAGGGAAGGCACCCTCTGTAGGAAACCTGGTTGCAAGTTTTTTGGGACATCACAAAATGAGGGCTTTTGCACGCTCTGTTTCTTTGAGTACAGGGAAAACCATGGTAAGTGGAAATGGAGTGAGCTTTGGCACACTTTACTGCAGATGAGCCTCCTCGAACTGTGGCGTTCTGTGTGTACTGGGTATAAAAGGGCGGGGGTAATGAAAACAGTGTGAGGAAGAAGGTGATTTTCTGTCTGTTATTATCCCATTGTCATGGTTAACCCCAGCCAGCAACCAAGCCCCACACAGCTGCTCGCTCACTCTCCCACCATTGGGCTCAGGTAGAGAATCAGAAGCGTAAAAGCTGGAGAACTCATGGGCTGGGATAAAAACAGTTTGATAGGAAAAGCAAAAACTGCATACACAAGCAAAGCAAAATAAAGAACTAACTCATTGCTTGCCATGGGCAGGCAGGTGTTCAGGCTGTGTCTTCTCCCAGCCTCCCATGCACCCTTGCCAGTAGGGCAGTGTGAAGAGCAGGAAAGGCCTAGTCTTTGTGTAGGCCCTACTCAGCAATAACAAAAACATCTCAATATTTTTAACCTTGTGCTCAGCACAAATCCAAAACACAGCCCCATACCAGCCACTGTCTTTTACCCCAGACAAAACCAGCATACCATAAAGGGGCACATGACAGCAGTGTGAGAAATCTGTGAAATCTCATGTAAAACTGCATTTCAGTTTTGATGGAAGCAAAACCAACTCAAGAGGGAGTGGCTTTTAATACCTCCCCATCATCCACTGCAGTCACGGTTTGGTAAGAATTTTCTTCACAGCTAGACAAGTTGTAGAGGCCAGTGAGGGAACTGCTGTAAATGTATGGAAGTTACTGAAAATCAGTTATGTTAGCAAGGTGTTCAAAAAGCCTTGAAGAATCAGTAGTTCTCTATCTGTTCTGTGTGTAACAGGTATAATGCTCTGGAGGAACCGCTGTAGTTACCTTGATAAGCAGAGCAAGTAGAAGTTGACTGTAGATAATTAGCTTGTATTTTGGAGTAACTTAGGAGTGTGTTGTTATACTCTACCTCAAAATCTTCCTTGGTAATACCCTGTGTGTGCATGCACGTGTGTTTAAAGACTGACCTTCAAAAAGGCAATAGTCTCTGAATAAATCACAGCATGAATTCTTCATCTTTCATGCAACTGCCCTGTTTCACAGGTAGAGCCCTTAGGTATAGAGCCTGAAAGGCACATGTAAGAAAGAATTATTACTTATCTCTTCGGACTATTTTATTGCTGATAAGTTTGCTGATACAAATAAAGAAACATGGAATAGGTTGAGTTGGAAGGGACCCTTAAAGATCATCTAATTCAACCCCCCTGCTGTTGGCAGAGACATCTTTCACAACAATGATCTTTCCACATGTGTTCAGTTTAGGGAACTTCTGTGCCAGCTTGCAATACCTTATTTTCCAGCATTGCTCACAATGAAATTTTTTTTCCTTCTGATTGTGGAACATATAAGATTGCTTCATGAGACTGAAAAGTATAATGCACTTCTTCCCGTTAAGCTCTGTACCACTGTACTTCAATTATCTGATGTGACTGAAATGGGGGAGGCTGAAATGGGTAGGTCACAGATGACAGTCAAAGCAAAGTCAAAGGTGAAATTTGTCTTGACTTCAGTGGGATCTAGGCTTCCCACTTAGGGCAAGTTTTTCCCAAATCATCTGTTTCAACAACTTACATGAAAATCAGGCTGCATTGGCACCCTCATTTATGTAACACGAAGGAAGATGTACCAACTGGGGGGGGGTCTCAGGATTGTCATAAACCCATGTTTGAGGCTAGTTGAGCTTTTTAATTTATTTTCATTTTTTAAGGTGGGGAGCTTTTTATAGCTGCTTTGGGTCATCAGATCTATTAGGCACATTCAAACTGCTCCTGTTCACGCTTTGTATTACAGACAGTGTTTTGCTACGCCACCAGAGGAGATCTCAGAGGAAGTCTTCGGCAGCAGATCAGATGGGGAGCTCTGCTGCCAGCTTCCGTAACACTGTGTCCTGCCAGCGGCGTGACTGCGGCACCCTGGGCAGCACCATGCTCGAGGGGTACTGCCAGAACTGCTTCATTATAGCCCAGAGCCAGCGATTCCAAGAAGCCAGAAGGACGGAAGAACAGCTGGTGAGACAGCCAGAAGTAAGTGTGAACTTCTCAAAATCTTCCTCTTGTTTAGCACTGCATGTTCTTCCCTTGTGGGAACAGCTTGGGATCCATACTAGAAAAACCTCAAATGACTGCATCTTAACTATCATGGAAAGACAAGCATAGAGCATATTTTTTTTCTGCTGTAAAAAGTCATTCCTAGTTTAGGGTTGTTATGGCCATGCTCTATTTTACCTCAGCTAGGATTTTGCCAGCCATTTCAGTGGAAGCAATTGGACCAACAGCTAGGAATTTTGTTGATTGGGCAGAGATTTTCATTCTTACCCTTTGAGCTGTGCAGCTGTGTCAAGGGGTTCAAGCTGCATTTTTGATTGAGTCCATCACAGAGATACGGCTTTTTTAAAATTTGGTTTGTTTTGGTCCTTTTAGAACTGAGGGTTGCCAAAGATAAAAAAAACCAATATTTTTTCCTAAGAAATGACAGAATTTCTTTGATAAAACTCAACTTGGCTCTTGGTATTGCACTTTCTAGGAGCACCTGTGAACAATCCCCAAGTGGTTACCTATACAAACCACGAACAGACTAGAAAGGAAATGAAAGGATGTTTGTGCTACCGGCCCAGTGACTGACAATGTGTTTTAATATTTTTCAAGAGAACAGGGCAGCACAGAGATGTGCAGCGAGCAGCATTGAGTACCCAGAAGAGACAGTGTTCTGTGGCTTCGTGTAGAAACAACATGGCCTGCAGAAGTGATGATCTGTGCCCGGAGTGCCGGCGCCTTGGTCAGCTGCCACCGTCGAGGAGTGCCAGGGAGCCGGTGGCACAGGAGCCTCCCAAGCAACGCTGCCGAGCCCCTGCCTGTGACCACTATGGCAATGCCAAGTGCAACGGCTACTGCAATGAATGCTACCAGTTCAAACAGATCTATGGCTAGTGGGGAACAAGAAAGCAATACTAGCTACTTCCTTCCCTGAAATGGTGCTACGTCCAAAACACTTAACAGTCCTGGAGTGGGAGGGTGGGGGGAAACATAAGCTGTCTGCTCAGATCATGTTTATTCCCAAGAATGGGAATAAATTTCTACTTCCTCTAAACACTGCATACAAGGACTGCTGAGAACGTCACATTGCCTTCTGCACAGAGCTCTCGTTCATGACTAAGCTCCTACAATGCCATATTTAATTCTTGGACTTCCCAGGAGGAAGTGTGAAGCATTTGAATCCAAAGAACTTCCCAGTTCTGCCTCTTTCTCAATACATCCCCTCTCCCAGGCAAGGAGCCATGTCTACTGTCAGAGGTGCAGGACCTTTTTATGTTTGCATACGTCAGTCAGGGGCAAGTCCTTCCTGAAGGGGAATTACCCAGGACAGACTTGCACAATTTCCAGCTGGCATCTGAAGAAAAGTGGTTTGATTTGCCCGTGTCCTTGCTGTTCCTACAGAGCTTGCCAGGGCAGGAGCTCCCATGGGGATTTAGGGTGATAACAGCAGGCAGTTCTGTGTTTGCAGAGCCCTCAGCAAACCACAGCCAGAAACAAGACCAGCACTGGTCTGCTCCATATGCTTCAACATGCTTAACCTACCCAGCATTTAGACCCTTTCCCCAGATCCCAAGACAACTGGAAAGACAGAAGCTGCAGAAGAAATGCATGTGATGGGGAAAATGAATCCTGCCATTTCCCACTTGAGTGGAAGGAATTACCTCCAACAGACATGAAAAACCCCAAAGCCCTTTGTCTTCACTTCTGAAACAAGATTGACTCTTGTCTCTCTTGCACTGCAGCTGTCAGGAGTGCGTGTGTGCTGTTCATACCCTCCCTCCCCATTTCTGTCACACTTTGTCATCCTTAATGTGATTCTGTTACCATGCAAACAGCTGGGAGCTCAGTAACAAGAGTTCTTCAGAGCTGAGATTTTACTCCTGAAGTTTATGCATCCACTTCGCAATCTGCAATACTTTCTTTAGCAACCTCAGCCTGTTACCTGCTTCTCTCTTCTCCTTTTACACCTTTTAAGTTTTCAGCATCTGTTTTGCTGCTATGATTTTGGAGGTGATACCTCTTCTAATTTGCTTCTCAAGTTTAGAAGCTTTTTCTAGTTACTAAAAAAAACCCAGTTACTAAAAAGAGAAAAAAATTAAATAACTCATGACTTATTTCTGTTAAATTTTATATATTTTGTGAACCTTAATGTGAACGTATGTTTTATTAAAATATTTATATTATTTGAAACAATGCAATTTGAAATTTGCACAGCTAGGTTTTTTTTTACATCTATTTACTCTAGTGTTGAAAGTTACAAACTTAAATGTATAATAGAAAAACTTCCTCTGGTAAAAAGAAATAAATTATTGAAGGATTGAATTTGTTATTTTTATATCTATGCGAGAGAGCGCAGTTGAGGATGGGACACCCCCTGAAGGAAGCATTCCTGTTCAGCAGTACCATTCAGCATGTTACTGACTGCTCCTTGGTGCAGATGATACAGCTTTGAAGAGGTGATAACTTGCTGTAAGTGGTTGTTCTCTCAGGAAGGCCTCTTGGTTCTGTTGAAGGACCTGGGCATAAGGAGTTGGCTCCTGTGGGTGCAGAGTTATTTTCAGTCCCCAGAAGAATGAATGTGGGAGAGTATGGATGGTGCAGGAGCAGACTGCAACAAAACCTAAGCTACACTGACTTACCTTGGCTTTCTGTGTTAATCCATCCATTATTCCAGGAATTCCCAATAAGTGGTACTTGAGTGCCACCCTGGGAGGTGGTGATGGCAGCCCACTATCCCAGCCTCCACAGCTGTGTGTGCAGCCCCAAAGGCACAGAGCAGGCTTACAGCCTTCCCTCTGCCAGGGACAGCAGGGAAGCCTTGGCATCAGAGTTGCTCAGTAGTTCATGAAGAGCAAGTTGCCAACTGCTGTTTGAAAAACTACATGAAAGCAGTGTTTTCGTCTCATCCCGAGCTCAGCCCAACCAAGCCTCTCTGCCAGGGGATTTCTGCACTGTAACTCCTGTACTGGCACTCAGGTGTTTCAGACCACTGCCTAGACAGGCAGTACTGTGTACTATCATGGCTCGTAGGTGTTGCTCGTGACCTGAAAGAAAAATATGAGTCAAGGCTGCAAACATCCCTGTGCAGTCGAGGACACTTTCCTAAGAGGCTGACCTCTCAGCTCAGTTGCTGTCTATCCTGGTTAAATCTTTAATCCATAGCCCAGCTCCCTCTGCACTCAGAGAGCTTACCTCTGCTTTCAGAGCATAAAACCTAGAAGTCAGCCTACATCCCACAGATCAGAGCCTGCTAGACCTACCAACCTCATCTCTACAGCATATTGCTCTTTTACAGAATCTGCCTCTGTTGACCAGAGATACCCACCTCACCCTTTCTTTACAGCTCATGCAGCTCACATGTCCCTGTGATTCATTGGCACCAGGCAGGCACCTCAGTGGTGAAAGAGCAGGCAAAGATTGGGAGGGATGTCTGCAGCCAGGTAGCAGCAGATGGAGGCAGCTCATGGCATCCACTCTCAGCAGCCACAAACCCCTGCTCACTGGAAAGACAGAACCTCCATCATGTCAATGCCATCTCAGTGTCAGGAGGCTGAATTACTCCACTTGCTGTTAATTGCAACTTCTGCAGAGAGGAAGGGTTTCCAATCAAATGCCCCAGATCCCACTGATTTTTGTTGCTGTTTTCTGGGCCCATTACTCATAACCCTTGTGTCACATGAAGCTGGTCTCATTCTGAAGCTCCCATGTAAATGAGTGCCCAGCCTATCTCTTGTGATTTACTTGTGTGGGAACATTAAAGCTAGTGGGGCCTTTTTTTTTTTTTTTTAATACATTGGTATTTCCCTTATGTCCTTAGGGGATTTTGACCCTCCTCATGCTTTCTGCTCTTTGCCTAGACAGCTCTTCAAGTTCATCTATTTTTCCTTCCTGTTCTGCATGAGAGAACTTTTATTTGGAGTCTCCCTTTTTGTGACCACTTCACTTAGGAAGGAAGGCTTTTCTGAGTCTTTTCTAAGACACATATATTTGATAGCCAGAGATTTTTTTTTCTTAGCAGAAAGGCAAAACTAGTAGAGAATCATAGAATTGTTAAGATTTAATGAAATCGCCAAGATCACTGAGTCCCACTGTTAATCTAATACCACTAAACCATGTCCCCAGGTACCACATCCACACCTTTTTTGAACACTCCCAGAGATAGAGACTCAAACATTTTCCTGGGCAGGCTGTTCTGATGCCTGATAATCATTTCAGTGAGGGAATTTTTCCTGTTACCTAATCTGAAACTGCACTAGTGCATTAGAAGACATTTACTCTCATCCTGTCACTTTTACCTGGGAGAAGAGACTGACTCTCAACCTGAAGACAACCTCCCTTCATGAAGTTGTAGAGCATTTTCTCCAGGCTAAACAGTCCCAATATAAAACAAATGGCTTAATGACTACTTATATCATACTGGAATTCCTTGTAATATAGTGCAGGAAGGGAATGCTGTACATTCATTTTATTTGGGGAAGGGATACTTCAGATGAATATAAGATGATCAGAATATTATATATGTTTCTGGATTTCCCAGGGATATAACCACTCAATTTACAGATAACATGATAAAGAGAAGAAAGCACTTAGTACATTTTCAGTGTAGAGAGTACATAGATTTATCTTTTGATATTTCAGTGCTCTGCCTGGCAAGTCTTTGGCACGATCCGAACTGCTAGGCCACTTAACAGGTTTGGGATCATGAAACAACATGTGCTGTGTTAGATTGAAACATTTAACACTGAGCTACTGACCTGATAGCTGCTTTGCCAGCTGTCTTTCATCCTGATGTCCCTGCACTTGCTGCAGACTGTCCTAATTTCTACCACCCCATTCCTCAGTGTCTGAAGTCAGCTAAACCACTCTTACCTGGCAGCTGTGGCCTTTATACTGCCAGTGATAGGCATAGGAGAAAGGGTAGTTCATTGATCAGGATAAACACACAAAAATAGGCCCCCTTCACAAGACCAAAACTCTTGGGATATTCTGAGGTGTTTTTCCCACCTGGGATTGGGATACTGGATGCTCAGCTCTTCTTCTGAACAGGCACGGCAGGGACTTTTGAGCAGCTATGTCAAGAAGATAGTCAACCTACTGAACAAAAATTATAAACTTACCCTGTTCATCTCTACCTGTCTTTTGGAGGCAATGAGTAGGCAGGGATATCTGGTAGAACCAAGACCTGGCAGTCCATGTGTCCAGGTTGATGCTTGGTTTGACAGCCTTGCTGAGACTTTGGCAGCAGAAATGCTTGTGCAGTCTGGGACACAGACCCACCACAGATATCCTCCAGATTCCTGGAGATTTTACTGACAGAGGTGATGAAAGACTTTTGGAGCTGAAGGCAGTATTTGAGAGGATTCATGGAGACTTTCCTAGTGTTTAGATGTTGACTATGTTTCAGGTATAAATCCCCAAAAAAATAATGCTGAACATAATTTTGTGCACATCAGTTCATCATGGTGATGTAAGGTATGGTTCGTTCAGATGGGAGCCACAGGGGAGGACTGGCTGCATAATCTTATCCTGCATACTTGAGTAGGAGGTTGTAGTGTAATACGTACACCAAAAGAGAAAACCACAACACAAAAAAGTTATAATTTCAGATTATATTAAACTGCAAAGGCCCTTTAAAATCTGGAATTAAAAGTACACTGGAGTGGCCCATTCCTTAGGCACCACATACAGAGCATGCAGAGCAGCAAACATAGTTCCCTGTCACTGATGGGAACAGATTCAATGGACTAAACTAAACTTGTTCAGTCTTATTCCTGTGCTGACCCTTTCTCCCACATCAGTGATAAATAGTTTTAGCATCAACCCTTGCCTGGTTCAGAAGGGTTGTTCTACCTGAGTAGTAAGAAAGACAAGGGGTTTAATTGAGCTGCTGTTTCATTAACTCCCCGTTCCTTGACCATGCATGGTTATTTTGGAAAAGACTGCCTCTAGCTCTCAGAGGTGGGTTATTGATCTAGCTGTTCAATGCAGTAGGACACACGTAGGTACCTCAGAGCCCAGTCCTGCACCTACACAAATGTTATCACTTCTCAAGCTGTGGTCAAGCCAGCTCAATGAGGCTGCCCATGTTCAGCAGCTGCCTGCCACTGCTGTCTGGTCAGAGCCATGGCTGTCCATCCGCTGCCTCCCAGGCAGCCCAGCACCCTTGCCAAGGGCTCTTGCAGCCCTTTTCCACCAAACAGCTGCTGTAGGAAACCTGGTCAGCCTCATGTGGTTACATCTCCATTTGTCAAGATGAATGTCAATTGGAAAAAAGCCTCTATGTATGTATACATATATCTATACTAAAAAACCTCTTGTACTGTCAGTCAAAGACAAATCTAAAATTAGAGCGGGTAATTTTGCTTGGGAGTTTTATGATGATTTCTTTTTCTACTAATCTTAATTTTAAAAAACATTCCCTCTGTCTAATACTGAAAGACAGTCTACAGCATGATATCCAGACTACCCCCTCCTCCAGCCTCACCAAAGTGAATGTTACGAATGCAAACTCTCCTCCCTCCCACCACCCCTGATCTCTGACAGAAATGATGCTTTTTGTTACTGGTTTGGCTGTTTTTTCCCCCAGAAGAAGGTTTTTTTTTGGGTTAAGCTCTAGTACACATTCATATTGTTGGGCAGGAATTCAGATTTCCCCTGGTAAATTACCAGGGAAGGGGGAACCTTAGGTTTTGTTCTCTGTTTGTGGCTTGATGTCAAGGGATTCATATGAGCTCATAGAAATCCACATGATGAGTTAGTCCAGCTCCCAGCCAGTACTGTTTTCTAAAAGAGTCACTACTGGCTGTCATGACAAGACAAGAAGGAGTCAAAATCCCCTTCTCATTTACAATGTAAAGCAAAGCCAGTGAGCTGGGGATCTGCTAAGAGGAGCACAGCTCCGTGTAATGCTTTGTGCTTTGAAAACAATGCTTTTCCTACTGACCTCTGTCAGATATGCTGCTGAGCACTGTGGGGCAGAATTTGGTAAAGGCATGAAGTATGACATAGCATGATATTGTCTACTCAGAAATCCCACATGCTAACATTATTTTCTGCTGGACTCATTTAATTTCCTGTTGCCTGACGCTGGTGAGAGAAGAGTGTAAACTGCTGGATAAATGTCTTGCTTCAAAGTCCAGTAACATTCGTATTCATGTAAAGCTGTAATTCAATTTGTTTCTACAACTTTACTCCAGGTGTTCTGCTGGGGAT